TTTTTGAGGAGCACACCCAGGGGGAGATTCACAGCAGGGTGGGCTGGGGGTGCCCCCCAGGGAGACACCCCCTGCCCCGGGCTGAGCAGGAAGGGCAGAGGAGCAGCACCAAGACAGGCCAGAACCCTCAGAGGGCAGAGGTGCCTGGATCACAGAATCATGGAATCATTTTGGTCGGGAAAGATCTTCCAGATCCCCCAGCCCAACCCTTCCCCCAGCCCTGCCCAGGCCACCCCTGCCCCGTGTCCCTCAGCACCATCTCCAGGGCTTGGAAACCCCTCCAGGGATGGGGACTCCCCCCCTGCCCTGGGCAGCCTGGGCCAGGCCCTGACTGGAGCAGGAGGAACCTCCCCATGGCCTCCAGACCATGACCTGACCAGACCTACCAGACCTATCCACCAGCTGCCATCCCCTCTGGCGTGTGCCCTGCAGCCAGGCAGGACTTTGGGCACCTTCCCAGCCCCACAGCTCCTGTCCCAGCCCCCCTGGGGTGACAGGAGAGCAGGGAGAAGAGCAGCATGTGGCTGTTCCCACATGCTGGGAGCAGGGTGGGTTGGCCTCACCTGCCCTCCTTTCCATCCCTGGGGGGAAACCCTTCCCCATGGATGAACCCACCACTCACTCCTACATCCCATGAGGAACCTTCTCCCCATGGATGAACCCACCACTCACTCCTACATCCCATGGGGGACCTTCTCCCCATGGATGAACCCACCACTCACTCCTACATCCCATGAGAACCTTCACCCCATGGATGAACCCACCACTTACTCCTACATCCCAGTTTGCTTTTCCCACTGGTTTCACACTGTCTCCTTGGCACCAGCAATGAGGTGACAGGACTGGGAAGGGGGAAGGTGACAGCTCCTCTGACCTGCCCTCCAAGCCAGGAGAGCTCTGGGACTCAACCAGCACCTCTGGGAATCCTGCCCCAGCCAGCTCTGCCAGGGAGCTCCCCAGGGACACCCACTTCTGCTTCTGATTAGGGACCCAGTGAGTGGGAAGCAGGGAAAGTGGGATTGATGGATGGATTGATGATCCATCCTGTCATCAGGGCCCTGGATCAGAGGTGAGCTCAGCCTGGGGAACTCCTGAGCAATCAATCACCTGGGTTGCTGGAAGGGCAGGAGGTTCCCAGCTGAAGTGTCACCTCTTCCTCCTGCCACGCTTGGCACGTCCTCCCACCAGCCCAGCCAGAGCCACCCACGGGCTCCAGCCCAAGCCCAAGTACCAGGAAAGGTGGGAAGTTCACCCCAAGTAGCCAAGGGGTGGCTTCCCAGGGACACCCTGAGCACCCCCCACCCAGGGGAGGCAGCAGGTCTGGCCTCTCCAACAGCCCCACCAGCACTGGAACACAGGCCCCCACCACCACTGCCCCCCACCCTGGTGCCACTGTCACCACGAGGGGCCTGTGGCCACCTCCACAATCCCACCAGAACACTCAGGGCACTTGTTGAGAAGCCACGTTCCCTTCTTGGGTCTCAAGAAATCCATGTGCTCAAGGTGGGTGGTTCCTCTTGGGCCTTTCTTTGCTTTCACAAGGTGACAGGGAGGAGGTGGCTGCTCTGGAGGGTGTTGGGCAGGGGACATCAGGGGACATCACAGCTGCTGACCAGGCCTGTTCAGCTGCCAGAGGTGACACCAGGTGGGGGGAAGGGGCTGTGCTCCCCAGAGGTGCTGGCACAGTCCCCATGACCCTGTGCTGCCCTGGCCACCAGAAGGAGGTGACACCTCCAGCACAGCCTCACCTCAAGGCTCAGGACACCACCCAGGGATAGAGCAGCTCTGCAGGTCACTGCCACCCACCTCAGTGACACCCACAGTTGTGTCCCTGAGCCACAACCCCTCTTGGGGACAGCAAGGGCTGGCCTGGCTGCTGGTGCCACCTCCACAGGGTGAGAGTTTCCCAGCAGAGTGAGAGACCCAGAGATGGGGCCAGACCAGGAGCCCCCAGAGACCCCTCCCTGCCCCACCACAGGCCAGGAGCCAACGTCACCAATGTCACCAGGCACCACCAGAGCTGTCCCAGCCCTGTCCCCAGGCCGGGGGGGTGGCAGAGCCTCCCAAGGCTGCAGGGGGAGGACAGGACCCAGCCCTGCCCCGTGCAGGGTCCCTGGCAGGGGACAGGGAGGTGGGTCCCACCTCACTTGTGCCGCTTCTTCTTCTGCTCGTGACGCTTCTGAGCCCTCACGTCCTTCTTGAGGCGACTGTCCACGACCTTGAACTGCCCCCTGACCCCCGGGGGGCGGCGCACACGGGGTCCCACCCCCTTCTTGGCCACCAGGTAGGTGACCTGACGTTTCTCCTTGGCCAGCCCAGCCTTCTTGTAGATGCTGAGGGAGAAAGGGAAGAGGTGAGACCCTCACCAGCCTGGCCCAGCTCCAGCGGTTTTCGCTTTGAGGTGTAGCTAAAGGTCAATCCTGGGGCCCCAAACTCTGCTGGGCTCCCTTGTTTGGCTCTCCAACCCCTCACAGGCAGCACCCAGGTCTAGCCCAGCCCTTCCCAGCTCTGCTGGGGCACCCAAAGCG